CTATCTATCTATCTATCTATCTATCTATCTATCTATCTATCTATCTACCATTGAAATGAAAGCTTCAAAAGAGATTTTAACAGATTATATTAAGCAATAAATCATAAACAAGCAAACACATAATAATGTAATATCCCTTCTTACAAGTGTAGCACAAAGTTTGAAATGTAATTATCTTGTTATTTATTCTTGTTATTATTTCAATAAGTTGTGGTGCCTCATGTAATGTGCTTTAACAAATGACAGTTCAACACAAATGCACCTGGGCCCGTGTGTACTGCGCCTAGAGTGGAAGTCAGAGCAACAGTAAGACATTCCTCATGCGCCTCTGTGGACGAGAAACCTCTGCAGAGTGCCATTGTGTTTGACATTTAGTTTCCTTGGTGACAGATTTGCCATCTCTCGCTCGGCAGGCAGTTCACGCTGGTAAATATAACAACTTGTTTCTAACTGCTGTTTTTGCTCTTGGCTTTGAAATCCTTACTGGTATAAATGGAGTCCAGAGCCCAAATGGATCCCGGGCCTAGCAGAGGCGATGGCCTCTTCCTGTAATGTTTGGTTATTCTACATCCCAGCGTTCATCTGGTTCACTTCCGTTCTTTTCATCACTCTGGCTCCTGGTCAGTTTTCATTTGCTGGCTACTATTTATTTGAATCAAGCCCTGCATTAACCATGCCTCCCAGCAGTATCTTTCTTCCTCTTCCACCACCCCATCGGAAGCATTAGGTTTTTGTCAAAGTCTGGCTCAGACGGGGCTTCCATTCACCAGCGCTTTGAAATGAGATCAGAGCATTTGAGATTCAGATGCTTGATGATATTAACTTTCCTGCCTCGCCCATTCCTCCCTCTCTTGGACTTTACCGGTGGATCCCTAAGTGGGTGCTTTGCCTCCGGCAGCGGAATCCATGTACAGCCCAAATTAAATTCCTTGGCCACAGATGCCTTTGCTGACCTTCTGGGCTTCCTGATTTCAGAGTAGATGATTGCAGCATGCAGACACAGATGATTAACCACCTCAAAAGTACTCCACTGTCCACATCTAACCCTGTGGAAAATATGAAGGGGACACCGCCCGACCCTTCAACGTGCCTCACAACAGAGTGAACGTGAAGGTTCCTCTCCTCCGTGAGATCAGGAGAGATGTCTGGAATTTAATAGATGACGGTCTCATGGGGAAAAGTTTACTGTCACCATTTCCTGTTTTATAGGGAGGGAACTGACATTCAAAAGAGCCACAGAATCATGGCCCTGTTATGAAGTAACCTTTACAGATACTGATTCAGCCTGCTATGTTTTCACAACCTGTGGAGACATTTTGCTAATGCGTGACCTGAACACGTTCCACCTGACACCCTCCAACAGGCCCACCCGGAGCCCTCAGCACACCCGCAAACCTGGGGGCGGTTTGGCCTCTACAGGTCTGGTGAGGCTGAAATTAAACATGATTATCGGACGTTTAATAAGACCCCCCCCAAAATATAGCACCACGAAGCTTCAAATGTTATTTTCTAGTCAATGCATTATTCAGCTTCTTTTCCTCATTTCTTCCTTTTGAATGTCATAGTCAATGCTAATTGGTATATATACATACAGAAAGTACAAAAACTACAATTTGTGTTGAGTAGACTACAGCCGGGGCCTTTCTGTGCATGCTCTCTCTTCCCACCAACCACAAACAGCTCTTTTAAGCCAGTTGGTGATTCTAAATCTACCTTCAGAGGTGGTTGTTATATGGTTCTTACAGTTTTGATATGTTGGCATAGTAATTTTGAACCGTACGAGCATTTCTAAACTGCTAACCCAAAGCTGTGAGGTGTGTGTGTGTGTGTGTGTGTGTGTGTGTGTGTGTGTGTGCGCCTGCAGACGTGTTCTGCTGGTCACACATAAAAAACTCTGTAGCTGGGTATGTACTTGCTATGTTTTCTGTATGCACAGCTGCAGTATGAATCTGTGTCAGAGTAGATAAATCACTTTTCAGACACAGATTCACTGCAGGCATGCTCCCAGAATATATTCTGCTAGGCAGCAGCACTAAATGCTGGGTAGGGATCTAAAATCTTGGCATTCAATCCTAAAGTAAAGCAAATTGCTGTGAGGAGATGCAAATCCTGAACAAACACCTAAAAAGACACAAACTTGTTTCTTGTTCTGCCTTTTCTGCTTTTATGCCATCATCAATGCACAATGAAAAAAATTGGAGTTTATTAAACACTGTTGGTACACAAACAGTGAGTGTGATAACAATACTGGAGGAATGATTTCTTCAACTTATTTCTGCAGAGGAAGTGGTCGGATGAGCTTTTTTTTAATTGTTTGTTTTTTATCACATACGGTGGCAATCATCTAATTCCTCAAATTATCACACAGTATAATCTCATCATTGCAAGTCCATCGATTTTTTCATTTTTTCCAAAGTGGATGAAAACATGCTTGAAAAACAGTGTGCAAGGCTTTTGTTTTCAGTTGTACAAGGTTAAGAAATACTGTCCTTACTTTCCTGATAACTATAGGAATGAGAAAATGTCAAAATATGTATGAATTGTACAGAAATGATTTTGCTGCCAGTGTGAGACTATGTTGCTCTTTATGGACTGATAGCTGAAGTCACATTAGCCCACACATAAACACAAAACACTTAAAAAAACAACACATGATAGCACACTTTATCTCGAATTTACAGCTTCTATTTTCCCAGTCACACTAAATATGCAAATGTGGAAAAAAGAACACTCGGACTTTTTGACTTTCACTGCATTTTAACCATCCACTTTAGCCACTTCAGTGTAATTTACTCAAACCAATTTGAAGTATATTGACTGAAACAGATCCATCACAATGATACGAGCGCGGCAGGAGTCGTCCCCTAAACGCCTGGGTAAGAGTTTCCCCGCTGGGATACAAATGGCAGAACAGCGTTCCCACAGGCTCCACTTCACCAGCGCAGTGTGCGTTTACCTGAACGTGGCCTTTAGGATCTGCCCGGAGGTGCTCTCTCTGCTGTGGTTGTTGTACCCGTAGAAAAGGTCTCCGAACACAGTCTGGTTGGCGGGGACTTCTGCGGCCTCGCTGCAGTCCAGGCCCTCCGTGCACGCCTCAGACAGGGGTAAGCACGACCTCCCGTCAGGACCACGCTTATAGTCCTCGATGCACCTGCAAAGATGGAGGATTTACTCGCCTGAGTGATTATATTGCTCATTTTCCTGATTGAATTTTTGACCATATAAACGTAAACAATGAGCCCGAATCCAATCCAAGAAGTTAACGTCTCAGGATTCTGCTTATTGAGCTGTAATCTAAGCCGCATCCCAAATGGTCCACCATCAGACAGCGGGCTCCTGCGGGGTTTAAAATGCTCATGCAGGATCAAATAGCTGTTAAAAGGATCAATACTAATAATATCTGATCTGGACAAATACTCCTGATCAAGCCAGCCATTGTTAGGTTGATTTCAGGTTCAGGCTGTGAATACTCACACAGGTATTTCTCAAACAAAGGTCTTAATCTAATATCTATCCTGTTTTGTTTTGCCACAATAAAAAAAGATAAAAGGAAAAAGGTGATGGAAAACTAAATCTGCCACATTATGTGGACTTGTACATAAAAACCCAAACCAGAAAAAAGTCAAACCTGCCAATTGTTTTGTTTTAAATAAATGTATGCTCATTCATTTATTCCTGGTTCAAACTGATTAAAAATAATTCCTCTAGTTTGTGTTTTTATAAATTTCCAAGTACAGTCAGTTATTCGTCTTCACTGTGACAAACTGAAAACTTTTTGGAGTAAAGAAGTAGTGTAGTTCAAACGTGTGTTTGTTATTTTTGTATTTTTAAGCAAGGCAACAGAGTTTTGAACTTGGGTTGAATCCAGTGGTTGGTGAAGGGAAAATGAAGTCTAATTCTAAGACCATCGCATTAGTTTGTTTAAGAGAACGATATGTCATGCTGCCTGGGATAAGGGATGCGTTTAGGAGACCGGGAAAAGCTCCTGTGTGACCAGCAGGGAGGTCCAACTTTTGCCTTAATGACCACAGTTCAGGGAATGTGTCCTGAACTCCTCTGCATACGTCTCCAAAGCACTGGTTCATTTGTGAAATCCCCTGACAACCGCCAAGGTGTTGCTGCAGCGATAATGAGACGTAATTCGCATTTGTTTTGCCTTGTCTGAACGCCCGTCACATTAATGGTGACAGGGCTTGATGCAACAGAGTTATGAAATATAATAATCGCGGTAATTATGAACGTGAGCTGTTGATTGCGTTCCTTCTTACCCGCAGAACATCTGGATGTTGTAGAGCGTGGGGTCATCCTCTAGAGGGGCCAGCTGTTGCAGACACAGCTGCTCACATCCTCCGTTGAAGCCATCGGAGCAGTCGATGCCGATGTGGTGGTCGTAACACCCGGTGCCATCCTTCATGGGGCTCAGCCCTGGAGGGCACTGTGGGAGGAGCGGGTTCCTTAAAGTGACTGATGTTTGCAATTATGATTTCTTATTTCATTTGGGGGCGCTTTCTCAGAGCTGCCTAAACTGTGAAAAGCTGCCACATTAATACGAATCCCTGAAGGGAGAGGTAAACAGACACCAGAACATCTGGGCCACGAAACGCACACAGTCAGGTTTCAGATCCCATTAGTGCAGCCTGTGTGAACGCCCAGCGTTTGTGAAGTCACACAAGGCTCCATGTTGCATGGAAATATTACCACGTTATCAGCATGAAAAGCAAGAAGAGCCTGCAACTGAAACCCAGAATAAGTTCCAAAACTGAAATCCTTTATGCTAAGAGCTGCCTCTTACCTTTGAAAATGACTTCACAGTCAGAAAGATGCAACAAGTGTTTTACCTTTTCCTTTATTGTTTGTCATTTCAACTTTTTTGTGACATAAATGGTTTTTGTGAGCTTCTGGGTGAGACTGGGATGTTTCTGAGGATATAAATATGCCTTTATTTGGTGTCACAGACCATAAGGCAGACACCTGAGGTCCCCCCCCGGCTGCCCACTGCCAAAATGCCCAAGTTCTGACATCAGGTGTGCATAAAATACCCTGTTTTCATGAAAACGGTGCACAGATATATGTCTCTCAGCCCTGCTTACCGGCTCTAACAGTGAGGACATTTCAGTAAACCAGTTACCTTTAATGAAATCAAGGTTTGTTTGTCTTTTCTCTGGTTAGGACGAGGAGACAACACGTTGTGTTTCTGTTGACTCCAGTGAGTGCTGTGTGCACGTAGCTGTCTGCAGCGAGCTGTATTTACCAAAACCTGCGAGACCTGACTTCACCTCCCTGCACAGCCTCACTCCCATTCTGCCCTGATTTGATTTCTTTCTCCGTTTTTTCATCTTTCATACACCTATCAAGTTAAGTTAAAATAATTGTTTCTGTCAGTGCTTACTTCAAAGGCACTTTGATGGAGTACATTTTAACAAGGCACAACTGCATTCACTACAGTGGCTTGGCACTCGGATTCCTTAAAGCGGGGATGGATCTACGCCGGCTCATTTGTTATATCAGCCGACAGCTTTCATCAGAGAGCCCATGCAGCTCCTCCAGCTAATGAAGCTCATGCTTGTTGTGAAGTCTGCTTAGTTTTCTGTTGAGGTGCAGCAGATTTTGTTTAGTTCACTAACTCGGACCATTCCTATCTAAAAAAATAAGTAAACGAGTAGATCAACAAACCTAAGGTCAAAATCAGTAACTAACAATCAAAGCTGAAGATTTTTTCTCTCTCAGATGGATTTTATTTCAAATCACTGGTTTCTTTACAAGCTTTAACAGGCAGTTTCTGAGGGGGGAGAAAACAACAACAAAAGGCAGTAATCAAATAACTACTAATAATGTTTTAGGAAATATTTTGGAACATAAAAAGCTATTCTTAGTTTTTTTCTGGAACAGTGTGAAAACAGATAAAGACATAGATAACAAAAACAGAGTGAACATGCATAAGTTACCCTGTTAGTCGCCCACAACTAAAACAATATTTTAGTGGAATGAGAAATTTTTAGCAGTTATTTGTTTTCTTTGGTTACAAGAGAAGGTCGGGACGCACAATTTGTCCTTTTTCTTTAAACCACTTCAGTCATCTTGCTTAAGTCCTCTGTGATCAGGGTTTACTTTTTGTTCCACCCATTTACAAGTGTGTAATCATTTTATTTTTTATTTTTTAATGACTAGACCATGTTCATCTTTGAATCCACTGGCTAATGTGTCTCTTTAAATGGCCTTGTTAATACGTTCTAATCTTAGGCTGTACAGGCTAATTAGAGGATTACAAATGCTATTTCCCTGTTCCCAAATGTAAAACCAAGAGTGTGGAGCTGAATGCGTATTGCTTCACAAGTTTCACAGATTTGATCAATGATCTTATTGACAGATGCAACAATGGTTGTTTTACTGCTGTAGATCAGATAGAATCAGAAACATGCTCATTGATTTCCTTCAAGGTGCAGCCTTCATGCTTTATGTGGTTTAATGTTTAATCTGAGGATGCAAAGATGTTACAGGTCAGTTCTTCATTATTAAGCAGTATAAATAATTATCTGGAAGTTTCAGCAAGGCTTTCTCCAGCTTTGACTTATCTCCATTTTCTCTCAAATCCAGCACAGACTGGAGAAAAGTTTCAGCACTTCTTAAAGATCCCATACTTTGAGATTTTCCCAACAGCCTACAGTTTGTAGTCCACGTGAGACATCACACATTTAATCTTCTTTCCCAGCTGGTGTCTCTGGTCAGGTGCTGCTGGTTGGTCATAATCGGGGACTTATTCTAAATTTTTATTGAGTTATGCTATGAATTTATGTGTAAAAGCACACATTTTCATGTAAATTCATAGTTTATTTGTGCCAGCGGAACTTTCTATGACATGAATGTGCTGCCTGCTGCATTTGTAGCAGTGTGTGTACAGAATGGGGCCAAATGCTGAATGAGAGGCCTCTGGTCCTGCTTACCGCATAAATTGTTATTGATTTTGTCACCCTGAGAGAGAACATGGTGACAAATGATTTATTACTGGTAATGCAAAGAGCACACGGGACACTGAATCTTCCAACACATCTGTGGCACAGTCTTTAAATCACAAACTCACTGAAGTCTGGAGATGCGTGTTACAGATAGAGGGGCCAAGAAATACAAACACTGATGAAGCCTAAAAAACAGTCACCCACTGGTTATCGACAAGCAGTAAAGGCTTCCAACATGTCGGAATGGTGACATGTTGGGATATGATGCTATTATCCTTCGGATAATGATCATTAGGAATATGAACCTCATACAGTCTGGGTACTGCCATGACTTAAGTTTTCTGCTATTTTACCATATTTGTATAGTAAAGAATTATCTCTTTTTTTACATTACAACCCATAGGACCCCTTTACTTAGGTCTTGGTAGAAGGCCCTCAGAACACCACCAGATGCTCTTTGACCACAGGTTGTTTGGTTACATAACACATAACATTTACAAGAAACTAAAAATGACAAATTTCTGAATGTAAATGAGCCTCAGTGTCGAGCAACATCTCGGTGGAAGAGCTCAGGGACGAGCATTGCTATAGCTACTCATTGATATGTGGCATTTATAGTATATATCTGTAGCTATCTGGAAAGGGAATGATTCCTCTCCAAATGATACACAGGTCACTGGACAATGACTGTCCACTGACAATAACAAAATGGTCTTTAAAGGTAAAGATAATCATCATTTATCTGGGATGGTTCAATAACCAGACAGTGAGTAAGAGTGCTGTCTGCTCAGTTTTAGGAGAAGCTTGGAGTACAAAGCCTGCTCTGGAAAACCCCCTTGAACTACAATGGCTTTTAATCCTGTTTCTTAATGGAGATAAATTCCTGCAGTGCTTTTGAGGCTTAAGCGAATCTGCACTGTGCTACTGCCAAACAGCAACAAATCCCTGTGAGGAGTTGGATAAGCTGTACACTTTTCAAATGTGTCTGATGGGCAAATAAGTGAAGACGTACAATGAGAGGGAACTTAAACACTCCACAAGAAAATGATGACATTTTTTGGGGGAATCTAATGACGAGGCCACAACAAGTTTATTTTTCACTCAGCTGCCTTCATAGAAAATTATATTACAATTATTTAGTCAATTTAGAGTTCTTTCTGTGTGCATTTTGTTGTATTCAGTGTCTATATTGTGAGGATATAGCATTTTAGCATTTTCTTGGTAGAATGTGTACAATTAATATCAATTTCAGACTTCCACTTCCTACTTCTTTATTGTTCTTCTGCAGATCCATCCCTAAATGTCAGCATCAAATTACTTTTATGAATCTGCCCTTTCTATTTTGTGTTGGTATTTCTGTATAAGAAACATACATTTTCTTAATGGTTACTGACAGAGAAACTGACATCTCATTTCAGTGCTAAAATCAAACAATAACAATAATAAACCGTAAAGGCAAAGGAAACCACCAGCCTTAGAAAAGGCCAGCGGGGATCCCAGAGAGAGAGAAAACGTCCACATTGTCTGTGGCCGTTACACAAACTCATGTTTCTGCTTCCTTTTGGAAAAGCAGATGTTTGGTTGATTTTCCAAAGATGGGTGAAACGTACAGAGGTTGAGGATGAAAAACTTCCTAAGAACTGGATGAGTGTTTTTTTGCTACATACAGTCGATAAGAAATTAATGTGAAGATCACCCCAGATGACAGTTCCTCACTCCAAACCTTTAATATGGAGGAAACCTCAAGTCAGATTTCCCTCAAGAGAAAAAAACATTTTTATCGTCAAGGATAAGCTGACTTTATTCACCATTACGCTCCACTTTTCACTAAGTGGTGAACACTGTCTTTTGTATAAAACTTTATTCTACTCATTTACTAAATTCACACACAGTTACGAACACATTGCAAGTTTAATAAGAATATTTTTGCAGAAAGAGTTATCTTTAAATGGGAAAACTTTTCTTCTTTTTTAGCATGCTGGGAAAGTGTCTGCTGAAGTCACACCTTCAGCTCCAGCTATCCCGGACTAATGAGACGCTGGCGTTCTCCCTGTGGTTTTGTGACTCTCTGTGAATGAGTAGTCGTTTTAACGAAAAGTTGTTAGGTTACAAACGCAGTGCACCAATTGGTGTCAGAGCACCGGTTGGCCCTAACAAAGACAGAGGAATCACAGCAGAATGGTCACTGCACCGTGGTGGCAAAAGCTGCTTTATTTTCTGCATAACATCTTATTGATTTTATGAATGCAACACAAGATTGATACACACCTAAATATATAAATATATACAGATGTATGACAAGTTGTCCTGTGTTATCTATCTTCATTTCAGATCTCAGAAGGGTTTCATGGCTGCCGGTGTTTTCTTTGGAAACAGGTCCAAACGGCTCTTGGGGTGTTTTAGGTCGGAGACCCTTGATCTAACCGAACAAAGTAGTACTGACATTCCATTGGCATTGTTACTAAGGTCCCAACATGTAATTTAGAGGGAAAAAATGCCGCCACCGTGAAAAGTGGGGTAACAAAAGGTCAGGCTGTAAGTAGTGATTTACACAGAAGCCTCTGCCTAAACACCTGATGAAAAATGCAGTGACCCGGGGAGAGAAAACATCAGTAGTGACAATCTAATGTGCTCCGGGTCCTCCTCAGGGCTGAGTTCTAGTTCTATCTCTGCCAGGTATTGACTCCATTCAACACTGCTTAGTGTCCCAAAATGTGATCCAAGTCAAGATTGTTTTCTGGTGCCTAAGGGGTAGTACAGCAAAACGAGGGGGGGAGACAAAGTGCTTTCGCCAGCAGCGGAGAGTTTGATGCTGTTAGGGATTATTACTATAAAGAACCGGGCCGGACTGACTCTATACACCAGGACTTTGTGTGTAGTTGTTGTAGTATTCTGCAGTTACACAGTGTGAGTTATGCAGTCTGACTGCACGATCGTGTGTTAATTGAGATGTAGGATGTTAATAAAATTGAAATCTAACAAACATTTTTTTCAGTTTATAAAAATCTGTTTTCCTCCAGATAAAAAGTGCTAACAAAACATCGGAATAATAGCTGTAAAAAACACTGAAACATCCGCCCAGACGGACCCTTCTGCAGGTCTATGGGCAGGTATCCTCCTCAGTCCATCTGTTCTCTGAACAGAAACCTTGTTGTCCACCATTTTGACAAGTGACAAGACTAAACCAATTAATATCCCAATAATCCTGTGATTATTACGCTCTCACTTCTACAGGCATCACATGCTGCACCTTCCCAGGAGTGCAATATATCAGCCAGCCAGAGCCGGCCGGTCAGTGGGCGCCTCGGCCGGCTCACAGCAGAGGAGATATTAAACATAGACAGCCTGAATCAGACAAGGTGTTAATTGATTAGAGTGGAATCACATCGCTGGGGCCAAGCCAGTTTACCACCCTGATTAGACGGATGAGAGGCTCATTTATAAGCTCGACAGTCGAGAGATAATTACTAAAACCCACAGTAATGTAGGCAGCTCTGCATAGTGATGGGCAGCAGTGGGATGTGAGTCTGAGTGGGTGATGCTGGTGGCTGTTGGCTAATGATCATCCAGACACCAGAACACCATCAAACTCTGGATTTTGAAATGAGTCAGATAAACAAAAAACAAAAAAAAGAAACAGACAGGCTGAAGGAAGTGTGAAAGTGAAGCAGCGCCAGGTTTCAGACGGATGCAGCTAAATGGGTGTTGCTCTCTAAAAGATTGAGGATTCCATCATACTAAATTTGTACAAAAAAGCCTAATAACAAAGTTCTCTAGACATCATCCTCAACAACAACTTTCATAATGAAATCTGCCCAAAGACACTTTTTGAAGGAATTTCCATGAAAAAATCTGGTTAAAATCCAGCCGTAATTACAACCTAAACTCATCAAGTCCTTCGTTTATTAACGTTTCCTGAAGATCGATTTTTCATCTCAAACTAATTTCTCATCCAGACTCCCACATATGCTCAGATAGAGAGAGGGGCGGACTGAATTAAAGTTAATGCTTCAAATCAACAGAAGTGGCTGCCTGTGATTCGCTGGCTTGTGGTTTGTGTTTGAACATAATATGCTTTGGCATACTGTTATTCATCTTCTGTTGTGGGTTGTAACTCATTTTAAGCCCGGTCAAGAATAGATGATTTTAGTGACTGAAAGATGTACTTTCTTTCTCCCGTTACTTTTTTATCACAAATTAATTCATTAATTTATTATACAGAAATATCCAGCGTTTCAGCTGTATATTTCAAAGACAAACTGATGTTTTCATTTATGAGGAAAACATTAAAGTTGAAATGATGTCACGACAAAATGCTCAGACTCGTCTCGTGCTTCTTGATTGGATCACATAGAAAACGAGTCCCGCGAGACTTCAAAGCCCAGGCTAAAAATATCGGTGATGTAAGATGGAAATTGGATGGATGGGTCTCTCCCAATATTTCTCTGAGATGTTGCAATGTTGTCGCAACTTCAAGCTTTCCTATATGACGAGGGCCATCCTACACACACTTACAGATACACTGACATGTCACTAATGACATGTCATTAGGCTGAAAAATTATCAGGATGGACATTAAGTAGCATGAGTCCAACTCTAGTCCCAAACTACTACAGCTAAATCAAACCAATGAGAACTATTGGATACGATGATAACTGAACCACAGAAACAAAAGCAAGGCTGTATAATTCTGGATAAAATGCCCCTAGACTGAAACAGTCTGATATCTCAAAAGCTTGAGGATTTTAAGATTTTTTTTAGTTTTGAGTTTCAAATTCTGTTTATCTTAGTATTTTTGGAGTTTCCAAGTTTAAACTTTTGGTGATCCATCTTTCCCTCGCCTCCTGTTATCTTATTTTTTTGTTTTTTTCTTTGTTTTACACACAAGTTTATTCTAAAGTCCACTTTGGAAGATCCTCGATTATAAAAATCAGATCGGATAGAAAGGGTCGTGCTGGAAGTGCTGAAGGCTTAAAAGACAATCAGTGGTTGTGCTTTTTCATTTTTTTTTTTATTTATTTGAATTGTCACAGATGGATAATAAGCCACAATGATACATACATGCTCCTCTGTCCCAGTCTCATTTTTTAAATTGACTGTCCTTTGCCTGCTGTCTCATGCAAAGTAAGTTGATATACAATACTAAAGCAATAGACTTGATAAAAAAAAAGAAAAAATAGAAATTAACTTAACTGCATGAGCTAAATGGTAAAGGTTTATATTAAAGATCCTCCTGTTATTTACTGAAGTAGTTGATTAATGGCAAGAAGCCAAAAAGGCTTTTTAAATCTCTGAAAGTTCCACTCCAGTAGTTATAATTCCTAAAAAACTTTGCTTCCCAGGGGAAAAAAAATCTCCCTTTCCTTTAAAATGATCCAGGGTGACTCTACCCCTCTACTTATTGCACGCAAGGGGATCTATAAATATGCTAATAAGTTCCTTGTTACTTCCACCTGAATGTGACACAATTTCCTCTGATTCTTTAAATAAGTTCAAATGTTGGAGTGGTTCATCTTTACATATTTAAACAAAAAAAATGTTCAATGAAATGTGCGTTAAATCAAGACCACTTAGAGAAATATTCAAGCATTCAAGAAAAACTAGGAGAAAAACAAACAAAAATAACAATTCATACATATTTTGTATTTTGGTGCCAGTTGATGATTCTGTCTCTGCACTGACTTCTTATTCAACAAGAGCAGGCTCATAGGCTCCTCCCCCAAACAGCCGCACACACCATTCGTATTAGAGGACATACAACTGAAAGCATCTTATAGACACATAGAAAGGGTTCACCCTGATTTTTTCATTTATTAATTCTTGTCAGAGGAAGATATCAGAAAGTAACACTGTCAGTTGTGCTGTTAACACTTGTATTTCGAGTGTCGTCTTTCAAACTGGTGTGACAGTGGGTGAAGTCATGGGATGCGTGCGACTCATGTTTCTCAGCAATTAGCAGCAGGCTGAACTGAAATAGCACCATTAACGTCATACTTAATATTTAATCACAAGTACTAATATTTCATTTTATCCATACTAATAACCATACATGTTTACATTAATTTTTTTTTAACACAAAAACCATATTTCGTGTTATGTTGGGGATGATGTGGAGCTCTGCTGTGGAGTGGGCATAAACACACCACAGAGCCTACAATGGATCTTCTCCTGACTGAATTTGAGAGGTACAGTACAATCCAGCCCCCTGATTTGGTGCACAAGTATTACTTGACTCATCAAAAACACGTTGGAATAAGCTAATTGTTGTGTGTGCTGTGTTCAAATGTCCTCTGGACAATCACGAAAGCTTAGAATTTCTCTGGTCCTTTTTACTTATTTAATTCGATGTGTGTAATAATAAGCGGTACAGAAAATGGATGGATGGATGGATGGATAGATGGATGGAAACCTTCATAAAAAGGTTTAATCTGGACATCTCGTCTTCCCTGGTCGTGCATTGTAGGATTTTTATTTTGCCTTCAAACTGCCGATGTCTAACCAATAAATGAAGTATTGTCCCATTAAAATCATCCCGCAAGCTGCTATTCCCTGATTTAGATGCATCACATGAGACCAGTATCCTGGAATGCATAAAAAGCCTCTTCCAGACCACCTGAAAGGCTCTGCTCAAGTGCATCAAAGCACTTGAAAAGAAATTAAATTGTAGGGTGGATGGTGCCTGACAGCTTATCAGCAGACAAGGGGGGGGGGGGGGTTAAGACAACCACAACACCAGCAAAAGGTACTAAAATACCACAAATAATAAGAATGTTAATGTTGGAGTCCCCAGCAGATGGAGTGGAAAACATAACCCTGGCTGAGTGCTAAGCTCCACCTGGAGGTAATGAATGTGTTGAAGGTGTTTAGGGGGTATGTGAGACCAGTACTATCTCCTCAAACATAAAAATCCAGTTAACTGCGAGTCCTTCATGCGGGTCACTGTGGCCTGCGGCTGATATGACCATAAATACGCACACTAGTACACAACTTAAACACAAGGGCCACATTCTTAAGGGTTCTACCTTTTATAATGTTATAATGATATAAAAAAAAATGCACATTGCTTTGCTATGCTGGTGGTAGAGGCTATATCCTGTTCCAGTATCATAAGATGGAGTGTGTACGTTTATATTATACTGTGATATTTTGAATGAGATAAGAAAATGAGTATTGTTTTTCTAAGCAGAAGGTGACTCACCACACATCCGGTGGAATCCAACTTCCGGTCGGAAATGCAGCGGAAGTTGCGGCTGCAGCCTCCATTATCCTTGGTGCAGTCTCTAACGGGCCCGAAAGAGTCCAGCAGGACCTCCAAGGAGTCGAAGGAGGAACTGATCATCAACTCCTCTCTGCAGGGAAAGCACAGGGAAAGGAAAATGGTGCTGGAGTTAGAAACACTGCCTTCAGATCCGGGACAGAGGAGTGTGTGTGTATCAGTTCATTTATTTGCCAAATAAAAATCTTAACGCACACTAATTGTGTTGTTCTTCTTAACTTGTAATAAGTAGCGGAAACGTAATACTTATTTTGGTGACTTCAATAACTAACTCCAGCGTAACTCCATGCCATCGCGTTATACCGCTAACATTTACTCAACTCTCGCGGGGCTACCACACACGCACCTGAACCCTGTTGCATGCTGGGCATTGGAGTTCTAGAGCTAACACGCTCATAACACCACACTAATGATGTGATGGGTTTAGCTTTGCTGTCAGAGATGTATAGGTTACTCTCCTTAGTGATTAGTTATTTTTCATTTAATTTAACATTTTAATCTGGATCGGGGCAGAAAAAGGAGCTGCTGTGTTCCAGAATTCAGATTTTATTTAACAGGCGACATACATTTTATCTTGCATTACTGACATCTGCATGTTTAAAACATGCAGTCTAATCATCCTGACACAGGCAATGGCTGTTCAAAGCCCATTGCTATGCAAAGTACTTTAATGTGGATTAAAACTCAGAATTAATTAAAAATTGTCACTTGCTGATGCTGTGGCCTTTGCTTTTAGTTCCTGCAGTAAAGTTCTGTATTGTAGTTCATTTATTTGAAGCAGCTATCCTCTGTGCATTTACTCTTGCACTATAATCTGCCAGCTGCCCTCTTTTTTGTCCTGGCCCTAAACACTCTTGTTAGCTGTGAGCTGCAACTTATTGTTCTTCTAACTGTGCACTTAAATTAAAGTCCATAACTGATCATTACAATGACAGATGATAATATAAGGATTTTAAATTCGGTGGAGATATGCAAAAGAAAGCAGCCTCCAGTTTATTCTGAACACTGGTGGGAAATAAAAACATATGTATTAGTGATACCCTTCTTTTGAACCCTTCTTTTGTTAAGGAAAATGATAATCTCTCTCCCAATCCAAAAAAAAGAGAGCGTTAACATTTCCCCTAGAGCAGATTTTCTTCCCTCCCAAAGTAAATGTGATGTTATCTTACAAACCAATTTCTCTATTAGAACTGCCCATTGCTTTGTTGTCATTTATTCAGACGGAGCCTCTCTATTGAACAAAGCCTCAGAAGATGATGAAACTTCCAGAAAGTGTGAATGCTAAATTACTGTGGCAGTCTTATTAAAGCTGGGAAACATCCACATACTGTGTGCAAGACACGTTTCCATTGAGTATAGCACAAGAGAGGGGAAATGGAGTTTGGAGTTTAGATGTTGATTCTGAGACTACAAGAGCATTCATTAAAGCTCAAATATGACAACACTGAAAAGACTCTTCATTACAGAGGCCATTTTGCTTTTCATCTGGAGTGTGACTATAGAATACGGAGAAAAGGATGAAAATCAATTCATGTTTTATTACCAATGGAAAGCGTTTGTATTTGTTGGGGTTGTGTCATAGTGCTTTAATGCCAAGTCAATTCCTGCTAATGAGGCAATTCTTTTAGAAAATTGCTATATATGTTTGATATTCCAATGAAAGAATTACAGAAAATGACTTAATCAGATAGATAGATAGATAGATAGATAGATAGATAGATAGATAGATAGATAGATAGATAGATAGATAGATAGATAGATAGATAGATTAGAGATAGTTGAGAAGCCCCCGGCTGCTGGAGCTGAGTTAGAAGTCTGTGTCCACACAGAGCAGACACAGACGGACAGTTTATTAAAGTCCTGTGCAGATTGCTCCTGATGGCTTATGTCAGTCACAGGCTAAAAATATGAACCTGTCTGTGTCCATTTCTGTCCTGAGAACATGAGTGGTTTCCACCAGCTGTGGCTCAGACAGCAGTTTTAATTAGTAACACACACATCTGGAGCTTTAGCTACACGTGTGTGTGTGCACGAATCCCTCATTATCAAGTGATTTGCATCATTTTATTGGTTTCAGGCCCATCAAGAAGAACGCCTATATTTATCTGGATAACAAAGCCTCTATCGGTCCGTGTTTCAGTGTGATTGGCATTCAGAGAGCAGTTGATGAATAACCACAGTGGCCTCTTTTTTAGACACTCTTCAGCTTAATGAGACCCCTCAAATGGCTCTTGTTTAAAAAGAAATCACTGTCTGACGTCAGTGAGTGACAAGTTAATCAAACAAAGCTGTGCCCCTTCCCCACCCGGATTTAAGCTCTCAGTGTAGTCTTTTCTCTGATTGGGCCATGACGCGAACCACCAAGTTATAAAAACGTGTTTTTCTATTTTATTTTTCTCCTTATTTTTTCTAGTTCATTTCCGGTGTAAGTACGGAAAATAAAGAGGCGTTGTGCATTAACTCTGAGCGCACAATTCAGCCCATCATAAGCTCATGAGACAAACTGCTCCATGTTCTTTATTACAGCTCAAAGAACAATTTATTATCCACACTCACTCCGGCTGCCCTGTAAACTGAGGATATGCAGTATTGATATCTGAAAAAAATAAAGACTCCCAACCTTTCTCTGCTGATTCATTTTATCTCATCGAGCTCAAAAAGCTGCATTGATCACAACATTCAATGTGTTTGCACAGATGAACCAGCCCCAAACATGAGTGAGGGAAAACAAGAATTGGACAAAAAGTGTTCAAACAGTTTACAACAAACACTGAACACAGTCATCAGTCTTTCTGTCAGGAATGTTTTTGTAATAGTGTTTCTCATGTTTGACACCAAATACTGAAATCAATTTAGCTGAGACGAGTTATACGACAGCCACCTGCTTCCGGTCGGCTCCATAACCTCTGCGGGGAACGGCCATTATGGTATAAAAACATCAATATGTGATAAGGATCTGATATGGATATCAAGCCCATGCACAGAAATAGAGCAGTTTCCAAGTACTGACTATATGTGAATAAGAAAAAAAGGGAGATTTTTTTTTTTCAAAACTATAACTATAAATAATGCAGTTCAAAGGGTTCAGTGTTAAACTGTCAAGCTGTTCAGCTCTTTGGAGAGTAAAGAGACTTATGCATTGGAGCCAAATTTGATAATCATGATTTTTGAAAGGGCTGTATTTAGGATATATACTGAGATGAACGAGGATTCCTGGGTGTGCAGCAGTTAGAATCTGCTGCTGACTAATAAACACACACCTCTACTGAACTATTGTTACAAAAGTCTATACAATTAGACTTATGTTAATGTTAGACACAAATTATGTCAGAATCTTCTCTCTTGTTTGTGGGTTTTCTTCTATGTGGAACACTTTAAATTGAAGTTGCCACTATTATTCATATATAGAGATTATATGGTAGATAATGTCATCGGGATAACCCTTGATTTAAATGAGTTAACAAAGATGAGTAAACAAGGAATTTTGATCTGCAAACCCTAATAAAGCAGCTTATAGTTGAATTCTAACATTATGTCTTATAATCTTTACTATATTATGCTTCCTACATGGTTTATTACTGTGTATTGGGTTTTCGTGGCTCTTACTGACAAATTATTTGTTCACAGTGTCTTTTAGCCTCTTTACTGTTTCGGCTGTCAAAAGGTTGTCTTATACTTTCTGCTGTTAACTTTTGGGTAAGACTGAGGCTATTTAACAACTTTACCTCACAGCGTAACCTTTGTCCATTTACTGGATTTTGTGTTCTTTTCACTCCATCTCATTCAGTTAAGTTTTACATTTACATTTTTTCTACTCTTGTAACTTCAGGGGTTAGATCTCAGAACTACTATTGAAATTGTTGATTTCTGACCGGCATTTTGGCCCTTTCCTCTTCGATTTGTGCGTTGCTTTATGCACAAGAGTTCAGGCCTTTTCCAGAGATGTAAGACTCAGCTCACCCTGCATAGACCGAATTTTAATGTGGAACATAACGGAATTGAATAAGAAAGAAAAAGGAAAGACGCTGGCAGATGCCCTGCCAATTCACAGTGACATAAAAAAGTCATGGAGGAAGAAAAATGCAACGTTCCACTTTCAGCTAATTGTGTAAGGAACTGCTGCAGAGTTTGATAAAAATGATCTCACAGACTGCATATTTCTGCAAAAACATGTTCCCTTCTGGAAATAGCTGTGCTGACCTCACATGAGTTTAGAAAAGCCAAAAGGGTTACAGCGCATTTGCCTTTTCTAAGAGACTCTTTGCCCTGTTTTAGCTTTTTTTTAAATATTTCCATCCACATGAATCAGCAAATGAGTTACCTTTCATAGGACTTTTGCTGTTGGATTATTTTTTTATTACAGTCTTGCAAAATATGGTTAAAGTACTTGCATGCATTAAAAAATGAAGGCAGAATCATAAACTCCCTACAGAACGTGCTAATAAGGATAAATGAAGGGGATGTTCACAACAGGGAGACACATTTTTACCAGACATCCTTTACCTGCAGATAATGAGAAATAAAAAATAAGAGAGTGCACACATGTTCAAAAAGCATGCTCTGGTTTACATTACAACCCCCCTTCCCCACCTGGTGTCACCAAGCTTTTCCTGCCCCAGAGGCTGTCCAGCAGCCCCCAGCTGTCACACATGCTGCGTTCACACTCCATCAGCCAAGTAGGAACAACCAAACTACTGGATCTGCTTATCTGTCGGAGTTTAGGACTTCATGACTTTGCTCGTCGTTATGCCAATGGTGAGGTTTAGGCGTTCAGTCTCCTGTACTCATTCAGAGAAAACATGGTTGAAATTGCATTACACTGTTGAGTAAGGCAGTGTTATGAAAGCATGAGGAGCCTACTGAAACACACTGACAGGATGTGGGCGAGCTTCATAAACCTCGACTTAATACGCCTGCTGTCTTTCAGACGCTCATTTCTGAGCTGGTAACGGTTTTAATAGTACCTCTCAAATTCAACCACAACCTCAACAATGTAGATTTTAAATCAATATATATATATATATATATATATATATACACAATAAAACATCAAACTACAACAATTCAAGTCACAACTAATAACCACGCGGAGCAGCACACACTGCAGCCAAATTCTGGATAAATGTTATTTTCTTTTTTTTTTCATATGACGTTTTGGTAATGTGCCGACATCGTCACTAAAGTGTGACAACAAATCAACCCTTTGACACTACCAGTCAAGCTGTGATCATTAAAAGCATTTCCAGGCTGTTGCTCCGCTGTCGTAAAATCCATATTTCACACCTGCAGAGTTTCTGCTGAAATTTGATTTGATTAAATTCGACAAAATCTGTTCAGCGATTTTGAGAGATTTGAGTGAACAACAAACAATGTCCCACAGACAGATGCGAGCTAGAGGATGTAGAAAGTCCTGAACATGTTCACATGTGGTCCCAGGATAGTGGCCTTAGACAGCCTGATAACTCCATTATCAGGTTGGAGGTAAGTCCTACTAACAAAGTACACATTCTCCTGTTTACACACACTAATGCAATAAACCACAACTAAAGTTGCCATCATCATCATTTCTACAGTTCTACTCCACTGTGACTACACGTTTTTAAAACTAATACTGACCCCATGCCAATGTTTATCAGGAGCAGCATCATTTCTCCAGCAAAACAGCAACTGTCTGCCAACTATTCAATGAGCATTTGGCATCTCAGCAGCGTGGGATTTTCCTCTGAAACAACAGAAGAGCTAATGTGGCCCTTGGTGAGCAGCATCACTGAGAGTCTTCTTGGGGAAACAGCTATTTGTAGGCAGATGTTGGAGGAAATGGAGACATAACTGACAGTTATCAGGCACGGTGAGGAGCTCTCGCTCTCCCATTAAGGATATTTTGCCTCTGACCACTTGTCAGCCTCTGATGAGTGGTTTCTCACCCGTTGATGAGCTGTCCTCAGCGGATCTCAGAGTGGCAACATCATCCACTCACAGACAGCAGAGTAGGCCTCCGCTGCTGTTCTTCTGGAAAAAATGGCTGTTCTGGCTGTTTATCACAAACAGCTAGTGGATGTAAATTAACTCCATTGTTAGATTGCTTCTCTGGTCTCGATGACCACTCAAAACTCTTTGCTGCTAAAGTCCCTTTCGTTTTTATACACGTACATTCATTTAGTGCTTCCAGGTGTAAACTGTGCCTACAGCATCTGTCCTTTGGTTTCACCCTGGATTTTGATATTTCTATCTTATATGAATGCTTTGTAATTAGAATCTGTTCTTTTTTTTATGAGTCTTTTCTCACTTTAATTGCTTTTCATGGTTTATACGGAGGTTAAATAAGGGATTAAAAAGGAAGGAATATTTGTATTATTATCAAAGTAAAATCTCTTGCTAACCATAAAATGGCTGTTTTGTTATGACAAGGTTTTGTTTTTGGCCAAATGGTGCCAAGTTAACCACCCACAGCTAGCAAAGCAAAGTGGCTAAACAATAGTGTTGCGTGGCTGTGAGCTGGGCCGGTTTTCCCTGCAGCTTTGGCTCGGTTTCAGTTCTCTGTGCAGTCCAGACTAAAACACAGTCTTGTCTCAAGTTATGGACCATTTCACCCAAAAAATTATCTGTGGCACAGTCTGTGGCTCAGAATCTTATTATTTATGTAATTTTTTACTCTTTACCTCCTGTTTAATTGATTTTGTGTTATGGCGCTGAATTTTATAACCCTGTTAGGACCTCTGTATCAACCTCAGAGGGAGGATGGAACTTTACTGGAACCATAGTAAATAAAAACTAAAAGCTGACATTGTAGGAAAACTCAACAGTGGATGTTAGCATATAAGTACACACACACACGCACACACACACACACACACAAATATATATATATATATATTCACACATACTCAGGTATCCCAGTGATATCATGATAAATGAGAAGATGTTTCCTGTTCAGGTGGAGCAGCAAGAAGGATCCTACTGCCTAATTAAAACCTTTTATTTCTTTAGCTGGAGACTCATTTGTAACATCTCCACGAGTTATATTCAAGAAAAGCAGTACAATTAATGTCTCCTACCTTACGTCAACCGCGTCCTCCATTACGGTCATGTCCGTTTTGCATTTGGCTGACGGGTTGATGGCGAGCTCGGCAGGAGGGATGACAAAGCTTTTGCTCAGTGGAAGCCACATTCCCTCTCCTAAAGTGTATGTGAATCTGCATAAGGGCATGGAAAGGTAACAGGTTAGCTCCTTTACGTTTGAATGAACAGATACAAACAGTTAACGCAACCAAGCGTCCATTTGGCCATTAAGGAGAACAAATTAAACACAGCATGGGAACGATTTCATATGTATGATATCCAGCTTTGACTAATAGTGTCTATGAAAAGGTGATAAGGTGCTGAATAATTCTGCCTTTCACATTCTTGCTTATCGTGACAAAACATCAGTATGATACAGATAAAGAGCCACAACATGCTAACATATAATCTCACATTTGGAGCTTTAGTTTTTCTCTATCCTGACAAACTTAAGGGATCGGGAGAAAGCAATGAGCTGAACAGAAAAGTGAAGTCTCTGGGAGAGTAATCATCTTTTAGAGTTCAACGTTAGTTCGACATTCTGGATCTTAAATCCTCCGTCAGATTTCAGAATAACCTTGAAATAAGAAAATTTACACCAATGAAAAATAATTGAGCAGTTTTCCCCTCAATTTTGCAGCCCTTCAAAAATATTTTCTGCTGTCTTTCAATGAATTTGAGTGAAAATTATTTGTTGTTCTTTTTCATGAGCCCGGTTGTTCATCACATCACTGTAAAGAAAGAAGTGCCTTCTTCTGTAACGTTGTTACAGTGTTACTATGTGGGCATCTGTTTTAGTAGAGGAATATCTTATCTGCATCACTTGTTCTGAATAATTACTACAAATCATTTAGAGAAGATTTATTTGAACTTTCAGTTAAGTTAATGTTTTTTTTGCACAATTCTCTCGTGAGAAAGGGGACAATGTGTGCATTCCCAATGAGGAACCCGGGCAAAACCACCAATAAGGCTTTCCCTTAGGAACAGGCAGAGCCATGAATCTGTAAACAACAGATGTCTGGAACAAAGACTGGTAAAAAATATGATCTGAGAAACAATGGATATCATCCATCTTTAAATAAACTAAATACTTCTACGTCTAAGTCAACAGTGCGCTCTTATGCTAATCAAATACAGTACTAGTCTTGATGAATAATGTATCCAACTAAAGAGGAAAACATGTTGATTAAATGGTTAACAATTGTGTTTGTGCGGGCTAAACATATTTCCTCATTTCCAAATATTAAATTGCATTTAAAAAAATTCTAGCTTGGCATAAGAAAAGGGAAGTGAGGACTAAATGGAATACGAGTGATTAAACCTATTATATGAATAAAACCTTTAATTATATCAACCTTAATTACTCCTTTTATTTCAAATAAAAAATATGAGTCAATCAAAGTGCTGTTTCCTTGCTTTTGAAAAAGCTCTTGTAAAATGTTGTTGTAAGATGGAAGCACATAAAAACTTCTCAAATGTATTTTCCATATTGCTTCTCAGGAGGATGTTGCCACATCTCAGTCCCCCGCTCCTGTGGGGCTGAGCCCCCCAGCAGGGCGCCCGCTCCCTGTGATGCAGCGTGACGTACGCGGGCGCGCACGCCACAAATTAGCAGCCACTTAACGAGCACTGTTTCATAATGGACAACTGGGGACTCCTGTGCTGCTGTAACACTTATTCAGTTCACCCTAAGAGAAACTGGAGGTGGAAAATTCTGAAAGTCCCCAGGAGAAAAGAGTTGTTGAGAGGAAAACATGTTTGCAGTCCTGAGAGGAACTCCCTGCAGCTCGTCTCCTGCAGGCGGGCTGTGAGAGCTGACTCCAAGCATTTATCTCCTCTAACACCCAGGAAATGCATCCTTTTGTTTGTCTCCATCAGCTCTCTCTATGAAAATGTGGATCTTTAATGGTGACATCAACAAATGGAAATGATAGCTGCGTGGCCCTGAGAGCTTACTGATATTTTAGGACGTTTTCCCGGTGTAAAGCACAGGATGGTTAGATGCAGTTAGCCCAAGTCTGTAACGCTTAGATTGGGATGGATGGCTGGGTGGGAGCAGTTTGAGGAAAACATTTTCAAAGTTTCAGCGGTAGAGAGGAAAAAAGGCCTTCTTCTGGAGGGCAAGCCAGCAAGAAGAGCAATGTATCAAAGTATTTACGGCAGATAAAATGTGGTGCTAGCCTCCCCTCTCTGTTCCCAAAAGACTGTAAAGTTAAGAGAAGTCTACATGAACTCTACAGCTTTCTCTGGATCGGTATCACAAACAATCACTTTTTTTCTTTTTTGTTTGCTCTGTGTTTTTGGAGCCAAACTGTCTTGGATGGAGGGAGAGACCTGTAATGAAGACAGTAACACACACTCTGACAGATGCTTTCAACTCCAGGAACTCAGGAAGAGAATCCGTCCTCAATATAGTCTCAGGAAACACTTCAGCTACCCTCCATATGAGACTGCTAAGAGCCATTTGGCACATTTTTAGGTCTAATGCATAAAAGATTTTATTTGTGAACAATATATCAAACCTTTTGATCAAGTTGAGTACTTTGCCATGTGATGACTTAAAGAAAGAAAAAGCCTTAGCTATCTATAGTGAATTAATTCATATTGATTATCTGAACACACTAATACACAGTTTGACACAGTTTGTGGTATTACTCTGACTGTGGGTGAGTTCAGCAAACCAAAGGAAACACACTCTATAATTGCTTTGTAAAAAGTCAAAACTTGGAACCTAACTATTTCCTCTTTGTGTTTGTTAGTTTGTTTTAAAAAATGATTTAGCAGAGAAATCACTGTGAAGTTTCCCTTACCTGAAAATGCGATCAGATGGCTGTTCCCCCATCACCAGATCGAAGCCTCGCTGGAAGATGGTGTAAGGCCAGGGACTGGCACGTAGAACGGATCAGAGGAGAAAAACAAGAGAGAACAAAACTGAGGGTTAAAATCGAAGCCAGGGAAATTAAACATTTATCATGATGCTTCTAAACCAAACCATTCAAATTCCCAAATCATTCCCAAATCATTCCCTCCAATGAATCACAAACAACATAGCAGTGTAGTTATGAGTAAACAAGCCTAATGAAAGATGGGCTTTCTGAAGCTGACACGGAATGTGACTTTGGCTCATCTGTATTTACAAGGGAACAGGATGACAGGGTGAGACAGAGGAGGCAAAGAGAGACACAGAAGAGAGTCACAGAAGAGAGACACAGAAGAGAGA